AGTATACTTAAAGTAATCTTTAAGTGTACTTGTAGTGTACTTCTGATATAATTGAGTATACTTCTATCTTTAAAAGTATACTTCGTAGTATACTTAAAGTAATCTTTAAGTGTACTTGTAGTGTACTTCTGATATAATTGAGTATACTTCTATCTTTCTAAGTATACTTTGTAGTATACTTAAAGTAATCTTTAAGTGTACTTGTAGTGTACTTCTGATATAATTGAGTATACTTCTATCTTTCAAAGTATACTTCGTAGTATACTTAAAGTAATCTTTAAGTGTACTTGTAGTGTACTTCTTAATAATCAAGTCCACTATTTCCCATTTCACCTTTATGCTGAGAAAAGAAGAACATAGCAAAGTCATTTTGTTTAAATTTATTCAACCTACAGTGAGAATTTTACAAATTGAACATTATAACAAAAACAGATATGGATTTTAATTCTGTGTAGCATCCACTTGCTTGGCCGTTGATCCTTTTTTGAAGTTTTCATTGTTGCACTTCTTTCTTATTATTTTTCTTATATCTTGAACGCTCAAAGATGGAAACCTCGACCGAGCGTACCCTGTGAACACAAAAACAAAAATATGAACAGTTAGATGAACTCCATCCATCCATTTTCTACCCTTTAATCCATTTCTGGGTCAGGGGGGTGACAGTCAGAGATGCACCAGCCCCTCACTGACCCTCTGCAGGTGGTGAGTCCACAGGAGGACGGCTGCTCTCTGAGTGTGAGCATAGCCTTGATCTTTCAGTGGGGGCTTTGGGCAAAGTGGGGTTAAGTGTCTTGCCCAAGGACACAACGACAGCAGTCATCAGTGGGAGTCAATGGAGAAGGTGCAGAGGTGGGAATTGAACCCACGACCTCCTGGGCTTAAGGCCAATGCTCTACCAACTGAGCTACTGTCGCCCCTAGATGAACTCTGACACCACAAAATCTTAACAGTTCATACCTGAATTAATAATACTGCTGTGAATCATTTTTTTGAACATGAGATTAAGCAGACTTTTACATTTTGATTGATCACAATAGATAAGTTAATTTTGATATAATTAATTAATAAAAAGTAAGCATATAATGCTCTAACTGTACACCCACCGATGATGAAAAACGTATTGATTGGCAAATATGCAGCACAGGATGAGTGAGGCCACAGACAGGATCAGAACAAGGTATCTTGACCAGTGCTTTTCAAACATTTGACACAAAGTACCAACACATAAATATTTTATCTGAAAGATAAAATATTTATGTGTTGGTGTTATCTTATCCGCTCGTGCTACGTACATCAAAACAACAATGGAGAATAAAGCAACGGTGTAACGTACAATTTATTTAAATATTTAAAAGTACGTAAGTATACTCACCAACAATGGCATCCAATTTAGCAGCATCCAGTTGCGGCTTGGACTCCACATCTTTATGTGCTGCTGACTGTCTCCCGGTCAGACTTGAGCTAGACAGCGTTTCTCTGCCAAAGATTAGGACAGCAAGGTCTCCAACATAAACTGACGAATTTGAAGTTCGGAGAGAGTTCAGCTTCATTTTGTTGACTTTGACGTCTGAGCCTGGCACCAGAGACACCTGTAAAACAACAAAGTTATTTGCAATAGGTGGCGTTCATGTTCTACAAAGTGATGATGTCATAATGTCAGGTGGAGGGCAGGGGCCAATACAACTCTAAAGTCGTTTTGACCAACATCACGCCCCCTTTTTTTTTAATATTGTCTCCACTTTTGGATGCTTTTCAGAGATAATCTGACATTAGTTTATATGTGCTGACAGAGAAGACAATAAACTTTGAGACAGTTTCTGTTTCATGTGGATTTTCCCAGTAATGAGTGAGATATTAGCCACAAAATAAGACAAAGAAATCTGCAGTTTGCCAGTTACCATAGTTACTGTACCATCATGGAATTTTCAGCTGTCTTGCACCTCAAAAGTAAATTATTATCCTTTCAGGGTATTAGCATTTTACAGTAGACCAGATAATCACTTTTATGTATTTATTTATTATTTACCTTGTATGATTGTTCTGCTAAACTTGTTAGACCTAATTTTTTTCCACATTGTTCTGTTGTTACAGACTTGTAAAATACATTCACTTCAGCCAGATTAAACCCTGCTGGAACGTGAACCTGGACTCCAGTCTCTTCCGTCCCTCCTGCATTCTGACCGAGCCACCACTGTTAAACCCTAAGAGCTAACCCTACATACAGTCCACCCCCACCTTAACTATTTGGTTCTTCGAAAAGTCAATTCCTCCATTCCAACCGTGCATGTGTTTTAAAACAGGTTGTCGATGAGATGGTCTTGTATTTTAATTGGAAGAGTGCCACCAACTGATTATCTGGCACTGTGTGACATGAGCCATAATCTACCCCAAGAGCTTTACACTAGCCAAATTAAGAACATTTTGTAAACATTCCTATATTACCATGTCAACAGACTCCTCTTGAGGAGATGCAGGAGAGGATACAGGCAAGTGTTCAGATCGCACTAGTCGCACAGGTGTTGATTCGGCAGAGGAAGACTTTGAGAACGATGAAAGCTGCTCAGTTATGTGTCTTAAGTTTTGAACAACAGCTGGCAGGTCTGTAAAGAGAACAGAAACATTCAGTACATGTTTCTTTAAAATGCTTACGCCACATTAGATTTTTTCACAAGAATATAATCAACACAATTATAGTTAAGATTAATTATTAATCAAAAATAAATAAATATCTTGATCACTAATATATTATTATCATTGTTATTGATCATGGCCTGGGACTAGGGCTGAATGATTTTGTAAAAATTAAAATTGCATATTTTTTTTTACTCTATACAAGCAGCACAATTGGCTCATCTTCATCTCTGTGTAGGGTACTAACACAGTCCCGTCAGATTTTAGTGAGGAGTTTGTTAACATGAAAGGAGGATTTCTGTGACCAGTACGCAGCCCAGGACTCTGAATGGAGTGATTAACACGGTAGCTAATGCAACACTAACAGAGAAAAAACCTTTGTCATTTACGGTGGTGGTTTAGCACTACTTAGGACAGAGGAAGAGGTAATCATACTGTATGAATGAGAAAATAATGAGGCAGAGTTCTACGGAACGCTCAGTCTTGGAATGTTCCCATTTAGGACATAAAGAAATGGCCATACGCCTGTTGCAATTAAGAAAAGTGACATAAAATAAGATGGTGAATTTGTGCAAGTTTTAGAAATCTGAATCTTTAGAAAAAAATTTTTTAGCTACTTTGAGCTCCAATAAAGTTGATCCTGTTTTCACATGAAAATACTTTTCCCCTGCTAAAAATACAAAACAAAACAACTAAACTTACCCCTGATTGCTTCTACAATTTGTTTATAATTGCTTTCTTTGAGCCTTTTGTTCTCAGATTTTAATTGCTTGATTTGACGCAGTGTACTGCTCCAATTCCTGGGAGGCTCATGGTCCTCATCCGATGTTTCGTCACATTCAGAACGTAACTACAAGACACAAAAACACAAGCACAATAACATCAAGATAAAATGAAGACATCTATGGTCAAAAAGTGCTTGCTTTTTAAATGTTATTGTGATGGGCAGATGATTCCTCAAGGTGTTTGTTTCCCTTATTGTGTCAGTACAGAATTGTGTTATGATCCAATATATGGTACTAACGGCAACTTGCGGTGAAAAACATGATCTTGTCTGCAGCCTCAATACCAAGTTATTTCCTAAATTAAACAATAAATATACAATTTACCTCCAAGGCTTGCTGTTCCATTAGATCTTTCTTCAAGTCTTCAATCATTTGGTTTGAAGCCTCTTTTGCTGGACAGGATGATGAGGATTTTTTGTTTTTTTGCTGCCAAAGAGATATTTTACATTTTAGTATTTGCAAAGTGCTTCAATGTATGACAGTAAATATGAAATGCGTATTAGCATATAGAGCTATAATTTTAATAGATACAGTCAAGGCAAATTGAAACATTGACCATCATGTTAACAATATGGTCACAATATATTAATATTACACAACATTCCTTTTTGTTGAGGGACTCAAAAATCATTTGAATATATAGGAAAGATTTTCATTTACATGACATGAGGTGTATGATAGAGCTTCCTATGTATTCAAACTTTTTTCTAAATGTTTTACCTTTTTGGATTGACTATCAGGCTCTTGCTCTTTGTCCATCCACTTGCTGTTTGGTGTTCTCCTCCGTTTATCGTTACCTTTAGGTATTTCCCAGATATCCTTGCCTTTTATGAATCCCTCCCTCTTTTTACACAGATCAGTGTAATTGTCTATGAGAAAAATCATCAGAGTGCAATGTGATACAAAAATGTACAATAATGAACGTGTCCACTCAAATTTTTCACAGGCAAAATAACTTTTTTAATGACATTAAAGTGACCCAAAGTCGTGCAATGACTTATGCTTTTTAATGCCCCGCAAAAAACGTGTAACAAGCCAATTACTGTGTTGTAAAATTATTTTCCTGGAAAGTTATTTTGTTTAAATAAATATATAAATTATAAATCACACATATACTGACCACTGATCATTAGAATCTTGGCAGGAAAACTCAATTGGCCGTCTTTTTTCCCCTTCTGTCCGGGTCGCCACTGCACATTTACCCAGCCATCTTCATCCTCCAGATTAGGGCACTCTTTAAACGTTTTGGATGACATTTCCTTTTGGTCTTCCTCCTTCATCCATTGTATTTTTCCCACCTCTACAGCTTTGTCTTTAAAGTAATAAATAGCATAAGCCATGGTTACAGATAATTATTTCGTTGATTAGCTCCCTTTTTTTTCCTTCACCGCCAAGAGCGCGAACGGTTACAATTCAAGAGCGCGAATAGGCTCTCGCGAGATGTGCGCAGCTCAGTGTACGTCGGATCGTAGCACGTGTAGTACCGCGAGACTACATGTGCCCAAATGAACGCTGGGAAAGGAGAAGGCAGCGAGAAGAAGCGTCCATAATGGAGAATGCTCTCACATTTTCGTAGCGTAAATCATGGCAAAACGTTCGGGATCCTACAAGAAGTATTTGGAGGATGGCACAGAACGAATCCCGAAAAGAACACGGAACAGATGGAAGCTAGCAAAAGTAAGTTATGTTGCTAATTAGCAAAAGCTAAACAAAGTGTCTACGATGCTGTCGATCTATTTCACGTGTATTTGATATAGTTGTCTGGTTAAGGGTATGGCCTGGAGTTGGAAGACATTTGTTTATGAACTATTGTGAAGTTAAAAAACGGATAAAATTTAGATTAAATATTGGGGATTAGGTTTGTGTAGCATTATGACATGATCAGTTTAAAACAACATTAAGCCTACGTGCTTGAAATGAACATTAAAAAAATGTCTGTGAAAAGCGAAACAGTGGCGTCCATGTTCACTGGAATCTTGACAATTTATCAGAAGGAGAATGGAATCGCAAAGAAGACTGTTCTATAGACCCTGTCAAAACACAAATTCCAATTGTTCTAACATGTAATGGCTGAATGCCTCCAATTTAATTTTGCCGAGCTAGTTAGCTCCGTCTAATGCATTGAACGTGACACCCCAGCTCCCCAGTCCACGGCCTGTGTACGTGGCCGTAGCCATGAATAGCAGCGGGCTGCGGGCAGGCCTTCTGTTCTTTGTCTTCACTGTATTATCCAGCCGACTCTTCTTGTTTGTTTATAAGGCAAGGTGTTAGTGGTACTAACGTAATCTAAATAAGATACATTATGAAAATGTAGCTCTTGCTTTAATCTGTTTCAACATGTCATTATAGCTGCATTGTGACTGTCGGTAATTTCTTCAAATGCAGAGACGCAAGGAGGCTGTCCCCAATGAAGAAAACAATGAAGATGATGATTCCTTGCAAAATGTGGTCAGTATTGCAGTTTTACAATGCTTTATGAAAGTTAAGGGCAACTAAAGTGTATTGGGTCAATGTAAGTATTTCTGTGAAACTATTAATGGTTTACAGAAATTGAGTTGGCAAAAGCAACGTCATGAACAACGTGCCTAGACGCCGCCATATTAGTCTACAGAATGACACTTCAATGCAAAAAGACTCCAATCTGAGTCTTTTTGCATTGCATTTTGACATCATAAAGTCCTTGTTTTAAGGTTCTTTTTGAAAAACACTAGGTATAACAAAAAAAAACTTTGTTCAAATACTTACAAAACGCGTATGGTATTTTTAAGGTACACCTTGAACTTTTGTCATGTTTACAGCCATAAACAAAACATTTATTTTGAATTTTTTTACTGAAAGTTCACACACAAGTAACCGACAACTGTGAAGTGAAAGCAAAATGATACATGATTCTGTTATTTTACAAAAAATAGAGAAAAAAAAAGTTCATACAGCATGAATTAATACTTTGTAGAACCCCATTTTGCTGCAATAACAGCAGCAAGTCTTCTGGGGTTTGACTCTACAAGATTTGCACATGTAGAGACTGACATTTTAGCCCATTCCTCTTTACAAAACAACTCAAGCTCTGTCAAATTAGAAGGAGAGCGTTTGTGAACAGCAGTTTTCAGGTCTTTCCACAGATTTTCAATAGGATTTAGGTCAGGACTTTGACTGGGCCATTCTAACACATTAATGTTTGTTTTTAAACCATTCCATTGTAGATGTAGCTTTGTGTTTAGGGTCATTGTCCTGCTGGAAGGTGAATCTCCGCCCCAGCCTCAATTCTCTTGCTGACTCCAGTAGGTTTTCCTCCAAAATGTCTCTGTATTTGGCTCCATCCATCTTCCCAACTATTCTTACAATCTTCCCAGTCCCCGCTGAGGAAAAGCAGCCCCATAGCATGCTCCCCCCACCATATTTGACACTGGGGAGGGTGCGCTCAGGACCATGAGAAATGTTACGTTTGCTCCATACATAACGTTTTGCATTTGGGCCAAAAAGTTAAATGTTTGTGTCATCTGACCAAAGCACCTTCTTCCACATGGTAGCTGTGTCCTCCATATGACTTCTAGCAAAATTCAAACGGGATTTCTTATGGCCTCCTTTCAATAATGGCTTTCTTCTTGCCACTCGTCCATGAAGGCCAGATTTGTGTAGATTTGGTTGCATTCCTGACCAGTGCTCTCCTTGTTATGTCTGTTAGTTTAGGTGGACGCCCGTGTCTTGGTAAGTTCGCAGTGGTGCTATACTCTTTCCATTTCCGAATGATGGATTGAACAGTGCTCCGTGACATGTTCAAATCTTGGGAAATCTCACGATGTTGCTTAGTGACCAATACACTCTGACCATAGCTCTGAGGCCTTCACAGAACAGCTGGAATTATACTGAGAGTAGATTACACACAGGTGGCCTCTATTTAATGGTTAGGGCAAGGTGTGAACTTTCTGCAGTCATTAGGAATGTTATAAAGGCAATTTAATGCACTCAGAAAAAAAAAGGCTGTATGAATACTTACGCACGCCCCACTTTTAAATTTTTTGAACAATAACAATCATGTATCATTTTGCTTTCACTTCACAGTTGTCTGTGTGTGAACTTTCAGTAAAATAAAGTAAGTGTGTGTAATTTTTCTTCACTTTGAGTAACACTTTCTCTGTTATTACACTAAAGGTCATACACGATAAAAATTTCACAGAAAATGAAGATGAGGAAAACTCTTCTACTGGTTCTCAAGAGGTAAATGCATTCATGCACCACTTTCACTTGAATTAATATTCTGCTCCAAACTCTAAATCTTAATTTTTTACCTGTAGATCAAAGAATACCCATCAGAGTCTGAAATGGACATGTTTGATGTCGACAGCATTGAAGATGAAAATGTGGAGACTGAAGACCTGGATTTCAACGCAAAAGAAAACGCTCCTCAATGTGCAATGGTAGGAATTGCATTGCTTGACAATGGAGGAATAATATCCCAGCCATCAAAACAATGTAGGCTCCCCATGGGTTTGCTCACCTGGGTTATATGTGGGTTTGTCTGCATTTTCCATGTGGGCTGGACCTTTACAAGTCAAACTTAACCCTTTCTAGTCTGGTTTTATTATTTTTAGTCTTGGAGCTTAGATCTTGGTGTTTGGTCACATTTGAGGCCAACCCACTCTGAAAAAACCCTATTAAGTTGCATTATACTGGTTTACATGTAAAAACCCATATTAAGTTGCATTATACTGGTTTACATGGAAAAATCCCCATTAAGTTGCATTATACTGGTTTACATGAAAAAAACCCTATTAAGTGGCATTATACTGGTTTACATGAAAAAAACCCTATTAAGTTGCATTATACTGGTTTACATGGAAAAATCCCTATTAAGTTGCATTATACTGGTTTACATGGAAAAATCCCTATTAAGTTGAACTTTATACTGGTTTACATGGAAAAAACCCTATTAAGTTGCATTATACTGGTTTACATGTAAAAACCCCTATTAAGTTGCATTATACTGTTTACATGGAAAAATCCCTATTAGGTTGCATGATTACACTGAAGTCCTTGAAACTGGTGAAGTCCTTGAAACTGTTGAAGTCCTTGAAACTGTTGAAGTCCTTGAAACTCTGAAACCTTGAAACTGCTGAAGTCCTTGAAACTGCTGAAGTCCTTGAAACTGTTGAATCATTGAAACTGTTGAATCATTGAAACTGTTGAATCATTGAAACTGTAGAAATGTCTGAAAGAGCTGAAGTCCTATTAAAATGCATGGGCCTATTAAAATGCATTGCAGAATTCTCAATGCAAATTAATGGCAGAATTCCCAAGCCCGTAGAAAAAAACTGGAAAACTGCAGAACTCTAATTTTTTCTGAAAACTCACAAGTTGTGGAAGCTGAACATGCACAAACTGCAGAAAATGCTGAAAATGTTGAAGAAAAGTCTGAAAACTATGAATTTGTGGAAGCCCCATTATAAGTCAATGGGAAAAATCGACCGATTTTTGTCCGATTGCGGAAAAAACCGGAAATCGCTGAAGTCCCAAAAGTAATAGCAATAATCTCCCAAACATGTGGAACGTTTTGATGTATAACTTGTGGAAATTGTTGAAAATGTGAAAGCTGTGAAACGTGTCAAAAATCAGGAAAAAGACGGAATAAAGAAAACCAAAACCAATGGTTGACTGCGGAAGGTTCCGCAGTCAATCAATTAGAGTTCTGCAGTTTTCCAGTTTTTTTCTACGGGCTTGGGAATTCTGCCATTAATTTGCATTGAGAATTCTGCAATGCATTTTAATAGGCCCATGCATTTTAATAGGACTTCAGCTCTTTCAGACATTTCTACAGTTTCAATGATTCAACAGTTTCAAGGATTCAACAGTTTCAAGGATTCAACAGTTTCAAGGACTTCAGCAGTTTCAAGATTTCAAGAGTTTCAAGGACTTCAACAGTTTCAAGGACTTCAACAGTTTCAAGGACTTCAGCAGTTTCAAGGTTTCCACAGTTTCAAGGTTTCAACAATTTCAAGGTTTCAACAGTTTCAAGGTTTCAACAGTTTCAAGGTTTCAACAGTTTCAAGGTTTCAACAGTTTCAAGGACTTCAACAGTTTCAAGGATTCAACAGTTTCAAGGATTCAACAGTTTCAAGGACTTCAGCAGTTTCAAGATTTCAAGAGTTTCAAGGACTTCAACAGTTTCAAGGACTTCAACAGTTTCAAGGACTTCAACAGTTTCAAGGACTTCAGCAGTTTCAAGGACTTCAGCAGTTTCAAGGACTTCAGCAGTTTCAAGGACATCAACAGTTTCAAGGACTTCAGCAGTTTCAAGGTTTCCACAGTTTCAAGGTTTCAACAATTTCAAGGTTTCAACAGTTTCAAGGTTTCAACAGTTTCAAGGTTTCAACAGTTTCAAGGTTTCAACAGTTTCAAGGTTTCAACAGTTTCAAGGACTTCAACAGTTTCAAGGACTTCAACAGTTTCAAGGTTTCAACAGTTTCAAGGTTTCAACAGTTTCAAGGACTTCAGTGTAATCATGCAACCTAATAGGGATTTTTCCATGTAAACCAGTATAATGCAACTTAATAGGGATTTTTCCATGTAAACCAGTATAATGCAACTTAATAGGGATTTTTCCATGTAAACCAGTATAATGCAACTTAATAGGGTTTTTTTCATGTAAACCAGTATAATGCAACTTAATAGGGATTTTTCCATGTAAACCAGTATAATGCAACTTAATAGGGATTTTTCCATGTAAACCAGTATAATGCAACTTAATAGGGTTTTTTTAAACCATGTAAACCAGTATAATGCAACTTAATAGGGATTTTTCATGTAAACCAGTATAATGCAACTTAATAGGGATTTTTCCATGTAAACCAGTATAATGCAACTTAATAGGGATTTTTCCATGTAAACCAGTATAATGCAACTTAATAGGTTTTTTTTTCCATGTAAACCAGTATAATGCAACTTAATGGGGATTTTTCCATGTAAACCAGTATAATGCAACTTAATAGGGATTTTTCCATGTAAACCAGTATAATGCAACTTAATAGGTTTTTTTTTACATGTAAACCAGTATAATGCAACTTAATAGGGATTTTTCCATGTAAACCAGTATAATGCAACTTAATAGGGTTTTTTTCATGTAAACCAGTATAATGCAACTTAATAGGGATTTTTCCATGTAAACCAGTATAATGCAACTTAATAGGGATTTTTCCATGTAAACCAGTATAATGCAACTTAATAGGGTTTTTTTCATGTAAACCAGTATAATGCAACTTAATAGGGTTTTTCCATCGGAGTAAACCAGTATTCACATGCAACTTAATAGGGATTTTTCCATGTAAACCAGTATAATGCAACTTAATAGGGTTTTTTTCCATGTAAACCAGTATAATGCAACTTAATAGGGGTTTTTCACATGTAAACCAGTATAATGCAACTTAATAGGGATTTTTCCATGTAAACCAGTATAATGCAACTTAATAGGGATTTTTCCATTGTAAACCAGTATATGGCAACTTAATAGGGTTTTTTACATGTAAACCAGTATAATGCAACTTAATGGGGATTTTTCCATGTAAACCAGTATTATGCAACTAAATAGGGATTTTTCCATGTAAACCAGTATAATGCAACTTAATAGGGTTTTTACATGTAAACCAGTATAATGGAACTTAATAGGGGTTTTTACATGTAAACCAGTATAATGTAACTTAATAAGGATTTTTACATGTAAACCACTATAATGTAACCTAATAGGGCTTTTTACATGTAAACCAGTATAAAGCAACTTAATAGGGATTTGTACATGTAAACCACTATAATGTAACCTAATAGGGGTTTTTACATGTAAACCAGTATAATGCAACTTAATAGGGATTTGTACATGTAAACCAGTATAATGCAACCTAATAGGGATTTTTCCATGTAAACCAGTATAATGCAACTTAATAGAGATTTTTCCATGTAAACCAGTATAATGCAACTTAATAGGGATTTTTCCATGTAAACCAGTATAATGCAACTTAATAGGGATTTTTCCATGTAAACCAGTATAATGCAACTTAATAGAGATTTTTCCATGTAAACCAGTATATAATGCAACTTAATAGGGATTTTTCCATGTAAACCAGTATAATGCAACCTAATAGGGATTTTTCCATGTAAACCAGTATAATGCAACCTAATAGGTTGCATTATACCACCAGACCAAGACCCAAACGAAGACTCAGACCACCACCAGATAATGACCACAGACCAGGTTTCCTTAGTTACAGGAACCAAATTGTTTCAGCGGTGAGGGGATTTTTCAGTTTCAAGGACACTTTCAATACATTCAGTAGTTTCAAGGATTTCAACTGTTTAAGAATTTAACCAGTTTCAAGGATATCAGGAGGTTCAAGGATTTCAGGAGTTTCCACACTTTCAACAGTTTCCAGGTTTAAAAAAGTTTCAAGGATTTCAGGAGTTTCAATGTTTCAACAGTTTCAAGGATTTCAGGAGTTTAAAGGTTTCAACAATTTCAAGGACTTCAGGAGTTTCAAATATCTATCAAGTATTTTAACAGTTTCAAGGCCTTTTAAAGGATTTCAAGGATTTTTTTTAGCAGATTTCCACATTAGATCTGTTCCGCAGTCAATCGCAATGGCTTCAGCCATTGCAAGTTTCTAGTTTTGACTTGAAATATGGCTATTTAAAAATGTATTTCATTTTCTGCTGAGAAGTATTTATCACAAGGTCAGAATTTTATTGTTTAGAAATGATTTAATTTTCGAAGTGGTGCCACCTGTTTGTGAAAGCCTGACCAGGACTACTAAGCAGCCTGGTTCGTACTGTGATGGGAGACCTCTGGGAACATCAGGTGCAACAGTGGGGCGGCTGCGACTTAAAAGTGATTAATTATTTGATGTTTTGCTAAAATTCTTCATGTGTTCCGTCATCCAGATGGATTCACACAAACAAAACACATTCAATCTTTTTATGTCTTCATTCTCAAACCATTACTGAGTCTGGCCTGGACCGGAGACTAATGTAGATTGTATGAACAGGGCAACTCTGAAACCAAACTCAATCAGTGATCAGTGATCAGAGACCTCTATACATCTAGTAGACCTGCTGTGGGCCGGTGTTCTGTCGAGATGGTCTGGCTCAGCTGTTAATGATGTAATGCAAACCTGCCCATGCGCGTCTCACGGCAGCCGAAGCAATCCAAGATGGCGGACATGTGGTCCGCGAATTGCTTTAAAAGTTAAATACGGGAGAGGACTTCCGGGTACCAGTCAAGATGGTGGCGTGAAAAGTCCGCAGCAACATTTGATTTATAAAACACCCCGTATAGGAGTTAAATAGCAGTTCATTCGTTTTACGAAGATTATAAAACGGGTACGAGATGAAACCCAGGAAAAGCCGAAGAAGACAGTCTCTGAGAATGGAAGGAAACATCGAAGATGACGAGATGGCTAACAGCAATAGCCCCGTTAGCCATGAGGACGAGAACAGCGATCCAGAGGAGGATAAGTTGTCTCTTATCTTGAGAGAAATCCGAGAACTCCAGGAAGACAATAAGGAGCAATTGGGCGAAATAAAAAGGGACATCGGGAAGATAAACTCGAGAGTGGATGACACTGAAAGGAGACTTGTAACTGCTGAAGCCCGGGTACAAGGAGCCGAGGATGTGCTGGCAGAAGTGGTAAAGCAGCATGAGCAGCTAAAGCTAAAGGTGTGTGATCTGGAGGGGCGCTCCCGTAGAGACAATGTGAGAATTTACGGGATACCGGAGGGTGAGGAGGGGTCTCCGACTCCAGATGTGACACTGTTTGTTGAACGCTTGCTACGGGAGAATCTGGGATTTCCTGCTGACAAAGAGCTGCTAATGGAGAGAGCGCACCGTGCATTAGCGCCACGGCCTCCTGCGGGGAGTCAGCCTCGGTCGATAATCGTCAAATTTCGAAGTTACAGGGCCAAAGACGAAGTGTTAAGGGCAGCTTGGCAAAGAAAAGGTTTCACGTGGAAGGGAAGCAAAATCAACCTCGATCATGATTATGCGCCAGATGTGCTGGCGAAACGAAAGGAATACGCAGAGATAAGGAGGATCCTCAAGGCTAATAACATACGATTTCAAACGCTGTTTCCAGCCCGGCTGAAAGTTTTCCTGAAGGATGAGACAAAAATATATGATTCTGTGGAGGACGCCTCGTCGGCTCTTGCAGACTTGGGGCTGCCAGTAACGAGAGTAACACCACCGGAGTCTCTCCTGGCTAAACTTCAACGGTACACCTGGACGCCAGCCCCACGTCGCAAAACGGGATATAAAGAAAAGCTGCAAGAGTTCAGACGGGATACGACAGGGAACAGGAGCACATGAGAAGGAGGTATGCATCTTTTGAGAAGATGGAGAAGTGTGGTCCTGGGTGCTAAAGTTGAACTATGTAACATGTTGCGGACTGGAAAAGGAGAAATGACTGGTTTAGAGGGCCCTCACTGCCTTAAAGCAGCCATTCCCAAACTCAGTAACACCGAGGCCCCCTTAAAAATCTGACGGGTCTGCGTGGCCCCCCAAAATAATAACCAAGAAGACAACATTAAGAATAGGCTCTTCTGGTTATTTTATTTTGGGGAAATAGCCTCTGCTACAAACATCGTAATACAAAAATGATTACAGTGGATTATTCAAGTCAAATAATGAACACAAATATTTTAATATTACAAACAAAACATTATAAATTTAACATTAAATAATTATATTATTTTTTTTATGACCTCCCGCGGCCCCCCTGCAGTACCCTCGCGGCCCACCAGGGGGCCGCGGACCCCACTTTGGGAGACACTGCCTTAAAGGATTAGGAGGACCTCCCTCGACAACGAGGTCCGATAGGTCAAGGACCTCAGTTATGGAAGTGGAACTGACCGTTCTTAACTCTACTGTTTGGTTTTTTTGTTTGTTTATTACGTGTTATTATGTTTGTTATGTTCAAAGGAGTAGCTGTACAAGGATTAATGAGTGGGCTATAAACACAAAGACAATATGCACAGGAATATGTTGAGTTGTATTTCCTTGAATGTTAATGGGGTATTAAATCCAATTAAGCGGACTAAAATCTTGACGAAACTCAAAAAAGAAGGGTCTCACGTAGCCTTTCTTCAGGAAACGCATATGTCTGCATCAGAACATGGATCACTTAAGAGGCAGGGCTTTAAGTATGTTTTTGCATCCGCATTTCAATCTGCACGTAAAAGAGGAGTCGCCATTTTAATATCCAAGGGCTTAGCATATGAGCATGAATCTGAGATTTCGGATGAGGGGGGTAGATTTATCAAAATTACGGGTAAATTAGAGGGAGTGGATGTAACCTTCATAAATGTATACGCTCCGCCAGGGAGTGACTGGCTCTTCTATAAACGTATCTTTGAACTTATGGCTACCTCCAAAGGAATTGCAATTTGTGGAGGGGACTTTAATATTAGACTTAACCAGGATCTGGATTCATCAGGTGGAGCAGCACAGAGCAATTCACTATCTAAGAAGGTTTGTTCTCTAATGGAGGAGCTGGGGATCATAGATGTGTGGAGGGACATGCACCCAACGATACGAGATTACACACACTTTTCAGCCCCACATTCTGTCTATTCACGAATTGATTATTACTTTATCTTTAGCGCTGATAGACATAGAATAAAAGAATCTAGAATATTGACTATAGATTTGTCAGACCACAGCCCTATAACCATGCTAGTAGATTTGGGAAACGACAAGAAAACATCTCTATGGAAATTTAACGCATATATTCTTAATGACCCCACAACTGTGGAGAAAATTAAAAACAATATAGATGACTATTTAGAAACCAATGACAACAACGAAGTTAAGCCAATAATACTATGGGATGCTCTTAAAGCGGTCTTGAGAGGGAAACTCATTTCCATTACCACATATATGAAAAAATGCAAGACAAAGTTACTCACAGGTTTACAATCCCAGTTAAAGCAACTACAAAAAAGAGATAGCCAAACTACCAGAAACGATGTACAAATTAGGTCTGAAATTAAAAAGGTGCAGAGACAAATTGATGAAATATATAATTTAGAAATACAAAAGAAACTAACATTTCTGAAACAGAAACACTATGAAGTGGGAGCAAGAGCATCCAAAATGTTGGCCTATAAACTACGCAAACAACAAATGGAGAATACAATTCACAAGATTAAAAATCCTAGCACGGGCCTGATTGAGGACTCAAGAGGGAAAATAAAAGAATGTTTTGAAGAGTTCTATAAGGACTTGTATACCCAATCCCCAGCTGCAAATGAGGAGCGCATTGACACCTTCTTGGATAGTCTTGAGTTGCCCAAAATTACAGAATCAGAAAATGAGATGCTTATAAAACCAATTACAATAAGAGAAGTTAATCTGGCTATTAATAAACTAAAATTAAACAAATCCCCAGGTTCGGATGGTTACACTAGTGAGTTCTATAAATGCTTGAAAACTAGTGTGGCACCACTACTGCTACGAACATTTAACTGGGTTCTACAATTTGGAGAAATACCCCCCTCTTGGCGTGAAGCTGTTATTTCGGTTATACCAAAAGAAAATAGAGATAAACAAGATTGCGGAAACTATAGGCCCATAAGTGTACTTAATGTGGACTATAAACTGTTTACTTCCATTATGGCACGGAGATTGGAAATCATTATGCCAGGGATAATTAATTTGGACCAGACAGGTTTTATTCATCACAGACAAACGTCTGATAATATAAGAAGGTCCCTCCATATAATTGAACATATAACACGACAAAAAAAAGAGGCATTAATAGTGGGTCTAGACGCAGAAAAGGCTTTTGATTCTGTGAGGTGGCTATTTCTATATAAAGTCATGGGTAAATTTTCATTTCATGATACGTTTATAAGAGTTATTCAGTCCATATATTCAAGACCAACAGCACGGATTAAAATTAACGGTGACCTCACGGATTCCTTTGTTTTGGAACGAGGCAGCAGGCAGGGATGTCCCATTTCACCACTCTTGTTTTCTTTATTCATCGAACCTCTGGGTCAATGTTTAAGGCAAACCCCCCAGATTAAAGGAGTTAAAATGCTGGGAAAGGAACATAAGGTGGCTATGTTTGCTGATGATGTGCTGGTCTACTTGGAGGAACCGGAGATCTCATTTAACATACTGATGAATACTCTGAAGGAATTTGGCAACTTATCAGGATATAAGCTTAATTTGTCCAAAACACAGGTAATGACCATGAACTTTACGGTTTCTGCAAATCTACAGAATATATATAACCTAAATTGGGGAGCAAAAGGGATAAAGTACCTTGGGATCACATTGACAAAGGATATATCAACTATACTACAGACTAATTATGATCCACTGTCTGCAGTAATAAAGGAGAACTTGCATAGGTGGAACCTTGTTCCATTTCTGAGCCTGTCCTCCAGAGTAAGCACAATTAAAATGGCCATTCTCCCTAAACTGCTTTATCTGTTCAGAACCCTACCAGTCGAGGTACCAGACAGTTACTTCAGGGAGTGGGATAAACAGGTATCTGGTTTTATCTGGCAAGGAAAAAGGCCTAGGATACGATACCGCACAATGCAACTGAGCAAAGAGAAAGGAGGAATGGCCCTACCATGTTTTAGGTACTACTATTATGCGTCTCAGCTAATCCCCCTCTTATGTTGGTGTAATGATGATTACAAAGCAAAATGGAAGGAATTGGAGTGTCGAATGTCAACAGAATTTCCTCTGCAGGCCGTAATTGGGGATAGGAAATTGAGACCTCAGCTGAGAGAATGTGGGAACTGTTGGGTGGATTTAACTCTCAAGGTGTGGGACAAGGTTATTAAACTGACCCAGATTGAGAAAATGCTGACTTTGTTCAGATGGTGTGCCTTCGATACAGAATTTCCTCCGAACAAAAATGATTGTGTTTTCAAATCTTGGGTAAAGAAGGGTTTGACTACTTACTGGTCATTTACAGAGAGAAATGTTTTTCGAAGTTTTCAAGGATTACAGACAAGATACGATCTACAAACAGTAGATTTTTTTAGGTACCTCCAGGTCCGACATAACTTCAATTCTAAATGTAAATCAGCAAATTTCACTCACACTGAAGAAGAGTTCTTCAAAATACTAAAGTCAGCATATGGGTCTATGTCACAGAGAATGATTTCGAGAATTTATAAAGCCATATCTGATAGATGTAAGACTCTCTATATAAAGCAGAAATGGGAAGGGGAGGCAGCCACGGTGATATCAGAAGATGAATGGGCTGGTATGCTGGCTTTTCAGTGGACATCCACTGCCTCTCCTACCTGGAGAGAACATTGTTGGAAGAATATCATTAGATATTTTAAAACTCCAGTTCAATGCAAACACACGAATGACTTATCATGCTGGAGACAATGTGGAACAGTTGTGGCAAATCACTTCCACATATTTTGGTCTTGTTCAAAATTACAAGGGTATTGGAGAGAAATTCAGATAAGCCTGAGTTCAGTGTTCGGTGTCGTCATTCCTTTTAACTTTGAGTGTTTGTATTTGGGTAAAGTTACCTTCTTGGAAAGAAGAAGTGACAGAAAGTTGCTACAAATCCTCCTTGCGGCAAGTAAAAAGAATATTACTAAGAAATGGCTGACTCCCACACGGCCCTCACTTGACGGCTGGATTGATTTAGTATTTGAGATATATAAAATGGAAAAGCTAACCTATATTATAAACATTAAAAGGGATACATTTTATTCCATTTGGAACAAATGGATAACTTACATTACCCCAACTAGAGCAGACTTTCTGTGACTTACTCCTCATTTGTGAGAACATTTATTGTTTACCTCATGTACACTACTTTCTTTACTCTATTTTTGCTTTATTTTACTATTTTGGTTTATCTTTTATATGGGCATTATTTTGTTTATAAATGGTGACATAAGTCTGTACTATAAGCCCATCATTGGGAAAATTGGAAAAATGGAAATTTTCTGTATTATTATGATGAAAACTGTATCTGTCACATCTTATTATTTCCAAATAAAATATGAATATAAAAAAAAAAAAAGTTAAATACGAACGAGTTAAGACAAGAATGTCACTTTTAATGCAACTTGAGGCGAGATGTTGATGGTTCCGCGTTGTGATATGTGTGTTTTAAGAGTAAGAGTTTTGTGTAAAGTTTGTTTTAAGCAGTCCACTGCTCCTGTGAAACTACACTGCAGCTGTTATGATCGCAGTCCCCGAGTTGACTGCTGCAGACGTCAGGCCCATGACGCGTCCTGTGACTGGTGTGTCGGGTTGATAATGGAAATAATAAATTAAATGTTATGCATGTATCATACTGTATTCAATATGATTAACAATAGTGTGTTCAAACAAAATATTTAATTAGATCGAGTTTTTTCCCCATTCTGGCGGATTTGTGCGCATGCGCAAATCAGATTTGGGCACACTAGCAGTGTAGTTTCTCAGGAGCAGTGTACTGCCTAAAACAAACTTTACACGAAACTCTTCCTCTTAAAACACACATATCACAACGCGGAACCATCAACATCTCGCCTCAAGTTGCATTAAAAGTGACATTCTTGTCTTAACTCGTTCATATTTAACTTTTAAAGTAATTCGTGGACTACATGTCCGCCATCTTGGATTGCTTCGGCTGCCGTGAGACGCGCATGCGCAGGTTTGCATTACATCATTAACAGCTGACCCAGATCATCTCGACAGGCAGACCAACTCGACAGAACACCGGTTCTGGATGTTTTAGTAGTACTGCTCTAGCAACAATTACTGTATAGATAAACAAACACATATTTCTGCATTTCATTTCAAGCTGGGATACTTAAAGGAGCAATATGTAATATTTGCATGTCAAGTCATCATTAAATGACCCGAATATTTCAAAAGGCGTTATTAAATCATAGTCTTTTCAAACACATCTTTAACTGATTACAGTAGTTCATCCGAGATATTTGATTATCAAAATTAGTTTTACGACCCATAAAAGTTGTTATTGTTTTGATTTTGATGTCCTACCCTCCGCCATTTCGCCAATCAGGAAGTGTCATGTAAGTCCGTGATCGGGTTGCCAGAACTCCGCGCGGCTCACTAATCTCAGTGGTAAAATAACATGTGGCGCAGAACTAAAAAAGGTCTTGTTATGACTCTCAAATCATTAATGACAAAACAAAGACTAAAACGAGGATTTATATCGGGATGCCTTTGAACAATTGAGACAGCTGATAAAAGTTTACGTGTAATGCAAAATTTTCTAGTTTGAGTCCGTTCTTCACAGTGAGTCTAACTGTGTGAAGTCTAGTGGTCAAAACTGTGCGCTTATGATGCAGGAACCCGGGTTCGATTCTGGGCTATGTCTTTTTGTATTTATTGCATGTTATCACATTCTATGACAGATTGCTCTAAAAACGGTAAAAGATGAAGGTCAAGACGTTTTTTTTGCAGATTATAGCTTAATTGTAAAAATAATCATTTAAGACCACATGTACCCCAATTAAAATAATGTTAGTCTCTTTTTGATGTGGGACTTTTACATGTTTGTCTAAAAAATAGGGAATAAATAAAATTGAAAGGTGATCCTCTTGAGCAAACCCTGATGTTGATACGCTGAAGAAATACGTTCCAACATCCATTCTTCCCACTCCTATTTTGGACATCAATTGCTTATTTATTTTGCATAAACTATGTATAATTACATTGCTTTTATTTTGTTTTTGTTTTTTATCTCAAATGTCCAAATAATAATAATAAAAAAACATGAATCAAAACATTCATTCAGCATTAGCACGGCTGTCATGGCAATGTGAATGGAGACGGACAAACAACTGATAAAATAATTCCCTGTGTTTGCTGCTGGATTTGGTGTGAATCTGGCAACCTGAGTCAGGGAGAGTGGGAGAGGACTACAAAATATTGACTGTGACTGCAGTACCACTTTTGGCCAGATGTTTACATATTGTTCCTTTAACTTTTCTTTTTTATGAACAATACAATTTGTTTGTCGCAACAGAAAGAGTCAAGTAAAATGTTGAGATCAAATCATCTACTAATTATAAAACAAAGTCTTTTAAAGGTATATAGAATTTTCCCCCAAATTTTAGGAAAGAACTGCCCTCTCCACTTTTTGAAAAAAGAATGATTGACAATTGGGAGGACCAATAGTCTTGATGATCCACCCGGAAGTAGAACATATTTATGTACCTTTAAGATTGAGCCATGTGAATCACCAATGACCTTCTGAGTGAAGGCGGTTCTCTCTTTTTCACTTTTCTGTCTGAAAAAGCTGATCAACGACACAGTATATGCACGTGACGACTAGTGATTGAACCAAACTGTTTTTACCTTCCACTCCTGGCTGTCCTCCAGTCTGTAGCGGATCTGGTACTTGGCCTGGAACAGGAAGTCTCTGAGAGCCGGCGGAGCCTCCCAGCGCACACTGAGCTGGTCCTCCAACTGCCCCACGCGACTGACCGCCACTCCGGAGGGGGGGTCCGTGGTCACTGAGGGGGGAGGAGCGAGAGTCAGGGTCATGGTTCATTTGGCCTCTTGAGACAATTCCAATAAATATGGAATATGTCAATACGGTAGATTTACGGTATAACTTTATATTTCCTTTTTTTTAACTAGTTATAGTTTTACACCAATAAATCCACAGTCTGTAAAGAATACTGGAACAATACGCTGGATATTTGAGGGAGTAGAACAGCGTTGTAGAACAGCATGACTCTCAGTGTCTTCATGCCAAAACCCAGAGCCAAACTGTAAAGAAACTGTCAGCCACAATTCTGTCTGTGCAAAAATTGGCAAAACCGTCGGCGTCTTTGTGTAAATCTTGATAAGAAACTGTTTGTATGTACTTCAGCAAAGGCACAAAACAAAGAATCCACTGGTTATACTGCCAAGGCAAACATTTACAAGAAGTGCAAATGTCAATATTTAGTTGTTATTACTAATTCGATAATTACTTTTAAATCCCCAGAAAAAAAAGTTTAACTGTAAAAAATGTATTTAAGCAGGAAAGGAAAGACAGCAATGGGGGGAGGTATATGTGTGTGTGCATGTGTGTGTGTGTGCATGTGTGTGTGTGTGTGTGTGTGTGTGTGTGTGTGTGCGTGCGTGCATGTGTGTGTATGTGTGCGTGTGTGTGTGTGTGTGCGTGTGTGTGTGTGTGCATGTGTGTGTGCGTGCATGCATGTGTGTGTGTGCATGTGTGTGTGTGCATGTGTGTGTGTGTGTGTGTGTGTGTGCGTGTGTGTGTGTGCATGTGTGCGTGTGTGTGGGTGTATGTGTGTGATTTTCAAGATTTACTTATTGCTTATTGTGCGTAGCGATTACAGAAATTTGTCTTTGGATTACAATTACACACGCATTCCAAGACAAGCACACAGATTTGCTGTCTTGGCGGTGCGGTGGCACAGGGAAAAAGTGGAGTTTGGATGTTCTCCCTGTGTAAGTAAGCATGTCAGTAATCTTTATTTATAGAGCGCCTTTCTCAGTCCAGAGTCAAAAAGCACTGTACAAATTTTGTGAATATTTTTCCTCTCCCTCCACACAGAGATGGAGCAGGGTCGCCATACAGGAGGCCCATGCCAGACCTATTGTACATGTCCTTAGTGATAGTGCAAAATCGGAGCAACCGGAGGAAACCAACACAGACACAGGGAGAACATGCAAACTGTATGGAAAGGTCTGGAGGTGGAATCGAACTCAGAGATTTCTTGTTTTGATACACAAGCTCTAACCAATGAGCCACCGTGCTATCTTGTGTTCTCTCTATGTCAGTGTAGGTTTCCTCCAGGTGCTCCCGTTTCCCCTACCACTAAAAACATGTAGAGTAGTTCAGGGGTGACTGAGCGAGTGTTTGTGTGAGCGAATGTGGGACGATAGATGGAAATTAGGCCAAGGCTCTTAGGCTCATACACACAGTCCAATCCAAGTGAAAAAATATATACTTAATTAGACAAAATACATAAGCTTTAAATGATCTTATTATTTAAATGAGGTCCAAGTTCAGTCGAAATATAAAGTTAATTTTAGTGCGGTTACAGCAGTAACTATAGGTGGGGCTCATTTATTCAGCTTGTGCAGTGTTTTATGAGTAATAATTGTGAGGGCGCATGGAACCAAGCATCCCCTGTGAGAGAGAGAGTGTGTGAATCAATGAGTGTGCGTGATTTTAAGATCCGAATAGAATCACTTTATTGTTTATTTTGTGTCTCCTTGTTATTATTGTTGTCTTTTGGTGTTACATACGTTTGAAGAATCCATCACTACAAACCACACATTCATTGAAAAGACAACATTTTATCGCAGCTATTTCGCTCACGTCTCAATCAATCCCCACAACTTCTCATCTTAAAAAAAAACAACAACAAAAAAACAGTACATTCCAAGCACATTTTGATGCTGAGAGCTCCGTCAGAAAAAAAAAAAAAATCCTTCTCTCTCTCTCTGTCTCTCCCATCTATCCCGGGCCAGCCTCTCCAAGCGAGTGTCCGGCCCAAACACATGGCCTGGATTAAGGTTTCCATCCTGAGCACAAAACTAACAGCTCGCGGCTGCCTCTCCGAACGCCGAGGTTACGCGCGCAGGTCAAGCGATCCATCTCCCTTCAGCGCCCGCTCACATGTCTCTATGTGGAAGAGAGCGCTGCGGTTTCCGAAAGGCTTGATTTGTGAGGGCGGCGGACCACTTCATCTGACAACGATTATCTATCCGAACAAACAAACATGCGCTGACAAGACCATTATTTTAAGATTTCTCTCAAGAGCGCTTCGATATCCAGTCGATGGAGCTGATTTTTTGTGACATGCGTGGCAGCTCCGGAGAGATGGGAAGAGAGAGGAGTATAGACAAGAGATCAGGTTGGGTTTCAGTGACAGACACGGAGCGGTAGGTGGAACAAGATGGAGAACGTTGTTGAGAAAAATAGTGTAGAATTAACTTTTAGAGCTAGCAATTATGTCTCAATTCTGTCTATAATGTGATTCATGCATGCAAGCTAACACAGACCTCCTTGAAACAGAGAGGATGAATCCCAATAGGGCTAAATGCAAAAATAAGAAAGTGAATTCATAAAAAATTATGATACCTGTTTTTCTTGTCACCAATCCATAACTGTTGTTCTATACCTAAATAACTAAAAACTAACTTGGTTCAAAGATACACAGATGATTTAAGAGTTTTGGACACGCTTTTTTGGCACTAATTAAGTAATAATGTGATCTGCTGCTATGTCTTGTGTTGTGACAATGCCATAAATCAAGTCAAAACTAAATTTCAAAGCTTCACATTGTGTGCTTGTTGAAATTTCATTAATAAATAGCAGGGAAAAATATAATGTATCTTCACATTTTCAATTTTTTATGGTTCCTTTCTAAAGGAAATGGGATTGGCAACATCCCAATGATGCATTGAGGTAACAGCGTGATTTTTAAATGTTTTCTTTTTCCATATTTTAAAGAAGACATCATTTTGTGTGTTAATTATAACCTACAAGTCATTATTAGCAGTTGGAACAATATAAATCTCAGCTGTTCAACATCAAACAACTAATAAACTAGAAATGTATGCATTGATTTGCAATTTTAATTTCAATATAAAGACGGATAAGACATGTACAGAGATGTGTCACTTTGTGGGTAAATGAGATGCCAATATATTCAATTATACACTGCAAAAAGTAATGAAAAATAAGTCACAAATTGCTCAAATTTAGCAAAATGCATCCTAATTTGAGAATATTTTGACTGCCTTAAAAAAAAGATTGGAACTAAAGATTTAAAACAATTATCTCGTTTTAAAAAGATACAAGAAATATCTCCCTTGGAATGAGGAAAAATGTTAGGACATTTGAGAAAAAAAGATTTAATGAATTTTCCCATTGGCAAATCTTGTAAGAACACTCAAAACACTTGATTAAAAACATTTCTTACCTCATATTTTGCAGTGTACCGTGCTATATAGTTAAGATAATATTTAATCTTTAACATAACAATAAATAGATTACTTGACTGAAGACCAAAACCATAGGTAAAAACATTCTAGTGACATAAGCAAGAATAAAAAAGCGTATATACTGTATATACACGTGGGCCTGGATGATTCACCGAGGCAACCCCTGCATGACGGGAAGGGCCTTGGACTATACGCCAGCCTCCCACACACTTGTAAATGTTATGGGGCTGTTGTTTGGATGTTGTTAGATGACGCGAGCTCTCGTTGTGTCATCGGAGTATCAGCAGAGCGTCGTGTTGCCTCTCGTCGCTCTGGAGGTGGAATGCGAGGCTGGAGGTGTTTCCGGCTGGAGCGAGGGGTGACTCAGCCTGCCCAGGTGTGGCTGCGGAGCCCGGCTTTTTACGGCCTGTTGTGGTAACAGTGAAAGAAGGACGCAACGGGCAACGGGACTCCAAAACAATCCTCGATCGGGAAGGGAGCAGCCCTGCCTCGGGGCTGTATGAACAGGTGTGTGTGTGTGTGTGTGTGTGTGTGTGTGTGTGTGTGTGTGTATGCGTGTGTGTGGGAGAGAGAGGAGAGGCTGCTGTGAGCTGCCTGATGGACATACAGACTTTATATGGCCTGTCTGAGAAGAGACAGTTAACAAGAGAACCGGGTCAAATATTCCAAGCTTATCATCTTGTGCTGTTTCAGCTCCAGGTCCTAAAGTCTCAAAGCCAGAGTGCCCCGGGGTGTGAGCGGGCCAAGGAGCGAGCGAGAGGGATTAGGTCCAAGAACAGTCCGAAACATTCCGACTGCAGAAACAGAGGCTTCAGGCTTTGTTAGCGTGTGTCCACCTGCAGTGTGTGTGTGTGTGTGTGTGTGAGTGTGCGCGCGTGTGTGTTTGGACTAAATGTTGGGGATTTAGGGATTTAAGGAAGAGAGAAATAAGTTCTCACTGTTCTGTGTGCAAAAACCTCTGTAAGCTGGTATGACAGCTTCATCGTTCAAAATCAAAGCTTTAAAAGGAAAAAGACGGATTTGGGTCATAGATCGCTGCCGTTTCCATTTAAGACTTTAATGCAGTTCAGTTTAGGTTGAAAGAGTAGTGTTTATTTTGTTTAGAGTCAGCCACATTTGAGTGGGTAATTCTAGCGTTGTAAATCTGGCATGTCTTTGTTGTTGGCTGTGCCCAACCTGAGCCTGAGGCAGACACAGACTGCACAAGACAGAGGTCACACAGGTGACTTCCCGTACTCACCCACGTCTAGGATGTCCAAAGTGAGCACATCAGACACAGCCCAGCCCAGCTGGTTGGAGGCCTCCACCCAGATCTCATAGGGTGTGAACAGGTAGAGGTCTCTGGTGATGCGACAGGAGTAGGGCTGGCCCACACTGTAGTCTTCACACTTCTTCTCCTCGTCGTACCACCTGCACAGAGGACACAGAGCAGGTGGCATCAGAGTCAGCCTTCTACTGACTGCAGCTCATGTGGAAACCAACTCCCAGCTACATTCCAAGGGGAAAGCTGTTTTTTTTTTTTTTTACTGAATTTGAACTTTCTATGAACAATGATGCCAATTCAGTCACTTTGAAGTTTGTTACACATAGTTTGATGAAGAGAATGGTGAGAAGAGAGTAAAACAACTAATTGCACATGATAAGATTTACACTGCGCTTGTACTTGAGGGTATAATGTGTGTTGATGTTGGTACTTCTCCTTTGGCCCCCTGGGGCCTAGCTGCCAGGTCAGTGTCATTTGGTGTTCCTGGACCAGCACAGCTTTAAAGCCACTAGGGCTTCTGTGGAGGCACTGCACAAGAGAAAAGAAGACAAGATTTAGTGCTGTGTCCACAGCTCAGCTATATGTACTGAAAGCATTCTAGGTATGCAGAGCATTTTAAGGGCTACCAGCAAGGGTTTAACAGGTGTTAGCTTATAGAAGTTTGACAAAAGATGTGGAATCGTATGTGAAGCAACAGCTCACTTTGTGCCTGTGGCAGTGGCCCCCGCCAGCCACTGATTGTCTGTGAGAACACCACAGACTTCCAAAAAACACCAGCTATTACATGTACCCTCTGTGCACTGAGCCTTCTTTATGGGAACACTGTGTGTGGTGCCCTCCGAGGACACACAAGTGCAAAGTCAACCTCTCAATAGCCTTCCATGGTTCATGCCACAATCACATGAATTCCATTGTTTGCTGTTTAAAAGAATATATTGGAAGGGACAGACTTGTATGAAGATAAATGTAATGTCATCATTTTGGATTAGAAATCAGGAATGCCTTATGCATTGGTGTTGTACTATTTGGCGGTGCACAGGGACAGTGTGGGAGGTGTGTGGACATGTCAGCCACCTCGTTGTTGTTCTGTATAGTGACAATGTAATGACCACACAGGTGGTCAGTTATTGTGTAACAGCATGAGGCCCCTCACACAGATCTGTGTGGGCACAGACCTGATCTGCATATCACAGCCACCCAAGTGTAGTTTCAATTAGGTATACTTTATTGTCCCGGCATGGTAAAATTTGTCGTCGGCATTTGCCCGATCCATCATTGCACTAGGAGACCTTGTCCAGTTAGATCTTGATGTAGGATTGGTGAGGGACAAGAGTTGGAAGGACTTTGCCTATTTTACATGTTTTTAGTTGGTCGGGAGAACATGGTTTAACTCACTCAAGAAAGATGCATGTTCCAACAGGGATTCCGAAACGCAGACATTCTTGCTGAGAAACGAGAGCGCTAACTAGTGTAACTCCTCAGCCTCTAGTGACCTGCTTCACCTCAACATACTCTAACTCTAGCTACAGGCTGAGCCACAGGTCTCTACTGTTTAGGCAATCCTGACAATTCTTGTCGGTTATACAGTTTAGCAGAGCCATGCAGCAGTCTCACAAATGCTCTTGTCACACTAGACTTTATCTGCGACGTAGAGGCAGGAGCCGGCCAGGATGTGGCCCTTGTGGTTGTGACACACCTGGTTGTCTATCCAGACTTTTTGTCTGGAAGCGTTGAGTTCCTACCAGCATCACATGAGGTTTGTTGGGGATCTGTTATACTTTGTTACAGAGAGCTGGCCGCGGCTGGACGTTCAGGGTTCACAAGAAACAGTGGCTGGCATGCACCCCAGGTTCTGGGGTGCCCCAAGCAGATGGCCGTCAGGTTGTGCCCCATGCGCAGGAGCAGGTGGTCTTGGGTATGATGGAGGGCCATCATCTGGGACACACAGAGAGAACTAGTCACTTAAGGTTTATTCAAATGCTACAATTGCCTTCTCCACCACAAATGGTTCATGACCTTGATGGGATTCACAGCCTGGCAGGTGAGATGCCATGTAACTGAAGACTACACACTCCTCTCTGTTCCTTCTTCATCCAAACATTTCAATCACAAGTTAATGCTCGGATCTTTTTTTCTTAAATGATGCATCTGTCCCATTTAGTGTTTGGGAAGAAGCGTTATTCCTCACTGCTATAATAACTGCGCATCAAAAAACACATGCCTTTTGAGCGCTTGTTACATCTGAAGTGTAGATAGTCTTACTTACAATATACTATCTGGATCATTATCACCATTAAGTACATTCTTGTATAGTGGCTTCCTCAGGCTTCTGTGACTTTTAAAGAGCTGATCCAATGTAAAGGCTCCCGATAATTGATAATACAGATATTAATAGCACAATTACCATGTTGGCTGTCTGTTTAAAACGTTTTACAGCTCTAAACATAAAATTTATGGCAGCCATATTCTGCGGCCCCTGTGTGATTAAGAAGGCAAAACAATACAAACAAAGTGAACTGATATGAGGCAATAAAAGCATTATATAACTGTTTTGCGGTTTAGTTTTTTTTTATAGTCACAGTTGAATAACTATGAGCAGCTGCTGTAAAAGCAAACTCATTTGTTGCCCATTACTATACAATAGTGACATGTGCAGACGTGCGTGCGCACAGTATGAACAATTGCATTAGGCGTAAAGGACTAAGTGCTACAAGAAGTTCTCTAGTCTATAGATCCTGTATATTAAGCGTTTTAAAACACACTAAAAACTGGAGTTATAAAAGACTTGCATACCAATAAACATTACCATATAATTATGATCATAGACACAGAATGTTGCACGACTTAAGAGGAGAGGTCGTTAGGGCACAACAGCTGCAATATTAATCACAAAAAAATGAAATTTTTGTATTAGGTTTGTGTTTTATCTGTATATTTCAGCCATTTGATCACAAATTCTTAGGGTTTGTTTTTTGTCTCCAAATGAACCCCAGTTGCCTCTTCTCTCACAAATGACCGTTGTGGGGTCAGAATACCTTCACCTTTCAACCCAATGCAAACACTAATGACCTATTACAGCAATAACAAAGACACATGCCTTATTTTATTTCCTGTTGATTTCATGTGGGTAAGGTTGAAGAATGTTTTTGGAAACACCATCATGTGGAGGAAAAAAGGTTGTCAGCCATTATATTTCCCTTGGGATTCCTGGGTGTTGCATGACTTTCTTTGAAAGTTTTAATGGTATAGAATTATAGGAGGTATTCCTGAATTTTAGGAAAGAAACCGCCCTAATAAATCGGGTCTCGCATTAGTCACCAGAATGATTGACAATTAGGGTGGACCTATAGTTTAGCAGTATCCACCCGGATGTTGAAATTCCTTCCACATATTCCTTTAAGTTGTGACCCGTTTTTTTTTTTTTTGGGGGGAGAAGTCTACTCCACAGATAAAACCCCTCCCCTTATTCTTTCCACAACAACGGGATCAAACAATGGTCTGAGGTGTAGATAATCTGGTTAAACACAATGTATCAAATATATAACCAGAATTACAATATCTGTCTGATTAATGCTATTTAGTTATTTATCCTACAGCCATTAAGGCCTGTGACGATGTGACTCCTGATGCTTATTCGCGTAGGTGCCTCTTCTGATGGTATTGTCTCATCACTTCGTAGGCACTAACTCAAGCTGACCTGATTAGCTGCTTATGCGATGATCCCCCGAATAACAAGATGCGGTTTATTTGTTTGCGCAGATGGAGCAGCGGACTGCAGAGCGCAGCCCGAAGCTCATTTACACGTCGTTTATTGTCCCATTCTGTGATGAATTAGCAACGACACACGGGTCTGTTTGGAGAAGCGGCGGCCCCGCCCTCGTCGCCTACACGGAGGAAATCTCAGCTCGTTACAGGACTGACTGGGTTATTGTATGTGGAAGAGTAAGTTTTCCAATGGAGGAAATTGACATGTGAATTGTTGTGATGTGTGTGGCCGTGTGCATCCATTTGACAACTTTACACATCATATGGAGCCGTTTTGACATTGTTGTGATGTCGGTTACGGTTTAACTAAAATGTCTCTACAAATTATAGAGTTCAGGTTGGCTTAAAGGCTATCGGTGGATTTTCCAAACTTTAGGGTAAGAACTGCCCCCTCCACTTTTTGAACATAACTTATCTGTCTATTTTGACGAGCTTTATAACCAGGAATGATTGACAAATGGGTAGACCTATAGTCTTGGGATGATCCACTGGAAAGTCGATATCCTTCCTGTTTACCATTTATCTTGAGCAATTATGTCATTTGCTGATTCCTCCATTCTTCTCATATTAATATTACCACAAAGACAAGCTACTTTCTCTTACATTAAGCCTAATTCAACCAATTCTTATTGAATATGATGTGTTCATATAATAATTATTACTAGATAATACTAAATTATAAACTGCTTAGAACATACTGCATGTCTAGTCACTTCATAATCATTGAGTTTACTCCAGTGACAGGATTCTGCATAACTACACTATGACATGACTTTGGTTGAGTCTTAAATAATATTAAATGTAATTTGTTTATTGGGTAATTATGTGTATGTCTAGTCATTATTCTTTTCAAAAAGTTAATGTTTCCACTTTATTGTCCCTTTCTGGGAAATTGGGGACTATGGTCTACACAAAATTACAACACAAGCATATACCATAGTATGCTCAGTCCTTGGTTGCAAAGACACTAAACAATGTCCTTTTAATGTTTGGACACCTCTGACATGATTGTTTGAGCAGACGACAAGGGAGATTAAAGTGACTTTCCATATATAAACTTTTTCAGAGCTTATTTTGCTGGTGGTGGGCAGGTTTACATCCACGTGCTCTGACTGGATAGTCTCTTTGTCTGTAAAAGCAGTGATTTAAAATCTCATTGTGTCTCATTAAAAAGTACAAAGCAAAACTCCTTCTCGTTAAATAGGACCATGTGGTTATAGAGGGAGATCAAGAGCTTCTAAGCAGCGGATAAGACCCATTTGAGCACACGCACCCAAAAAAGCACTTGATTTTCTTGTTTTTTTCTGTAGCTTTTAGATTGTTTGATGATCGAGAGTTTGCTTCATGAACAGTATAAAATAATAAATAAACTTTTCCCCATGCTTTAAAATATTTTTTTTTTTTAAATACAAAAATAAACCATTTTCATGCATGTGCGTGTGTGTGTTTAGGCCCCTTAAAGTTTACACATATATGATGTGATTTGGGTCTAATGAGCAATTTGCTGGGTAGAATCTAACATGGCTCTGTCTAAGTGAGAAGTGTTTTGAGGTGGAGCCTGTTTATATCACTTTGCTTTTAAATCATATACTTTTGTTTAAAAGGCAGAAATCTACCTGCTTCTTGACATCTCTGTACTGTGAATTTGTCTCATATTGAACAAATTTGAAAACAGAGCATTTTTGCCTTTTTGACATGGGGAGGACTGT